ACAACGGGACCAACAGCCAGTGGGGGACTTGCAATGGGACAAACAGCTGCTGAAGGTGACTACAATGGGACAGTGACTGAATGATTTACAATAGGAGAAACAGCTGCTGGATGACTTACAATGGGACCAATAGTAACTGGAGGTGACTTACAACAGGAGGACTTGCAATGGGACAATCACTGGAGGTGACTTATAATGGGACAAACAGCTGCTGGATGACTTGGAATGGGAGCAGCAGTCACTGGAGGTGACTTATAATGGGACAAACAGCCACTGGAGGACTTGCAATGGGACAAACAGGTGCTGGATGACTTGCAACGGGACCAACAGTCACTGGAGGTGACTTATAATGGGACAAACAGGTGCTGGATGACTTGCAATGGCACCAACAGTCAGTGGAGGTGCCTGACAACGGGATCAATGCTGGGGCTCATGGCTTTAACATTAACACCCTGACACCCGCCCCGAGCAGGCCGTGGGGCCGTGCCCGTGGGAGCAGCAGGATGAGGGGTGCTGACTCCCCACCCCTGCCCCAGGTGCTGCCCTAACCCTGCCCCACTCACGGGTGCAGCCGCTCTTGCTGTCGGTGACGATGCCGCGGAAGTTCCAGAAGCCCGGCTCGCAGCGGTCGCACTTGAGCCCCCCCACGCCGGGCTTGCAGGAGCACTGCCCCGTCCCGGGGTCACAGGACCCCCCGTAGGAGCCGTAGGGGTTGCACTGGCACGTGCCTGTGGGCAGAGAGAGCCTCAGAGAGGGGCTGAGCCAGGGAGGAGCCCCCCGAGCTCCAGCCAGGGTGGGCTCGCGCTGGGCAGGGGGAGGTTCCACCAGCTGCTCCTGCTCTGAGGGGGAACTAAACCTCCAAGGGATCAACCTGCTGTCGTCAAGGACTCCTCTCTCATTACCATCAAAGGGGAAGGAAGCTATTAGGAGTTTATTATTAATTCATTAATTAGGAACTTGATGGAGGGGAGCGATCCAAAGATAGACAGAGAGACGTTTCTCCTCACCCGCAGGGAGCAGGGGAAAAGAGACACGGGGAGAAAGGGAGACCTGGGGACCAGCAAGGAGGGTGCCATGAGCACATCCCCACACTGCCAGAGGCAGGGAAACGGCACATCCACGGACAAACCCGCCCCAGGGGTTCAAGCTGCTGGTTAAATGGTAATTACCCCCTGATGAATGATTGCTGCCAGCACAGGGACACAGGTGGGACAGAAACCAGTGGGATACTGAACCCCAGTGAAGTGGGAAGCTGTGCCCAGGGACTGCAGGGCAGGATTTCCACCAGAGACACAGAGGATCACCACCACCAGTGTAGTGTCCTCTGTAGCATCACCCTGACTGTCTCCTCTGCCCAGCACCCACCTCAGCCTGCAGCACCCCCCTTACTCCTGCCAGGACATCTCTGGACATTCAATGCTGCTGCTTTTGAAATTATCCAGCACATTACACAGGACTCCCCCCTCATCAAACAGGCATTAGCCCAGCACAGGCACAGCACGAGCCGTGTCTCCACGGGGTGATGTGTTCCCTGCCATGCAGCCACAGCCTCAGCTGTTCAAGGCTTTGCTAATGCCTTTCAAAATGCTCCTTCTGGCCCTGATAATTATTTAATAAATATTAATGAAACGCTGGGCAGCTTGGCTTCCTGCACAGTGCAGTCACCCACCAGTCACCAGTCCTGGGGTGGCCTGTGGAAGGTCCCCAGGTGAACCTCCAAGCTCTGTTCCACCTCATCCTGCAGCTCAAGGACACGTGGAATATTCCTGTCACTCAGGCTGGTGAGTCCAGCAATGGACTGAAGGCATCAATGGCACAGTCTTGGCCCCAGGGGCACTTTTGGGGGCATCCAGACAAGTTCTGAGCTCCCATCCTGCCTTCCTGCATTTCAAAGGGATTTAGGCCTGGAGGTTGTCTCAGAGCTTTTGGAAGGACAAGAGCATCACCAGTAGATCCAAAAGGGGAAGAACACGTGCTGGAAGGTTGTAGCAAGGTGGGAGCTTGCTCCTTCTCCCACGTAACAAGTGACAGGACCAGAGGAAACGGCCTCAAGTTGTGCCAGGGGAGGTTTACGTGGGATATTGGGGAAAATTTCTTCACTGAAAGGCTGGTCAGGCACTGGAACAGGCTGACCAGGGAATCAGCACCCCTGAAGGTGTTTAAAAAACATCTGGGTGTGGCACCTGGGGACAAGGGTTAGTGGTGGACCTGGCAGTGCTGGGTCAAGGGTTGGACTCCAAGGTTTTAGAAGGCTTTCCAACACAATATCCACTCACTTGGACATCCTGCTGCTCCCACTCCCAGCGCCAGGGTCACGTTGTCTGGGCAGCAGCCGTAGATGGTCTGGCTGCAGTGCACGACCAGGAGGGGTGGTGGGGTTGTGGCAAGGGCTGCAGAGGAAGGCAGAGGGGTACAGGTTATTTCTGGCAGGCAGGACGCTGCTGGGATGCACGGCCAAGGTATGGATGGAGCAGCAGGCAGCAATTCCTGCAAAACCACGTGGAGATTCTGGGAACAGGCCATGAGGAGAGGTCCTGCCCTTGGCCAGGGAGAGCACAGGGCATGGAACAGGAAAGATGCAGTGGGATCAGGGACACAGGGGGCACTTCCTTGCTTATCCACAGGGAAAGGGTAGCAGGCTGGGCACCCCCAGAGCTTGTGCCAGCTTTGAGGGGAGGGGGGGTGGCTGCCATCAGGGGACTCACCACGGCAGGCTCCTTGGCCAGTGACATAGAGATCCTGGCGCTTCTCACACCGTGTCTTCTTCAGCTCACACTCGTTGGCGTAGGTGACACCATCGGAGCCACAAACCTGCCAGGACAGGGACCCGCTCAGGGCAGCCCCTGGCACGGGAAGGTGGGTTCCCTATCCCGTGGGATGCCCTCTCCTGGCCCAGGGAACCAAGGGAGGAGAAGAGGGGAGGGGAGGGAGGGTGCAGGGGGTCTCACCGGGCTGCGGGGCACGGCCAGGCAGGTGAAGTCACACACACAGCGATCGTCCTCGGCGTCCTCGTCCCACCAGCCCCCGAACTGCCGGCACCGGTCCTGCTCACACTCGCTGCCATCCCCGGAGCCAGAGCCCCCTGAGCCACACTCTGCAAGGGAGGACCTCCCTGGTGACACAGGGCTCAGCCCCAGCACGGGGGGGAGCGGAGGGGATGGGGCCAAAGCCCTGCCCTGGCACCAGGATGTGCCCACAGCTGCACACACCCACCCGAATCTGAGCAGATTCAACCTCCTCAGCATAAGCAACCCCAAAATCCTGGGCCAAATATACTTGGATGCTTATGCCCAGCTGTCAGGGAAGATCCCTCTCTCTTGGACAAAGCAGGTTCTCCCACCATTGACTGTGCTGAGCCAACACAATGAGAACTGCAAACCTGCTTTAGCCTGAGGTTTTCCTCCTCCAGCATCGCTGCAGGAGCCAAACCAAGGCTCCTGCAGCTCCCTGCAGCTCAGCCAGCTGACAGCCATGCACGGGAGGGAGGGCTGCCACCAGTCTTGGTGACAATTTAACTCCATGCTTTGATCCCACTCCTTTTCCTGCTCTCCCAAATGCGCTGTGTGCAGGGAGATTGCTGCTGCTGATATGGAGAGCAGAGCAGAGGAAGGGATGGGGTTTGGGTTTAGAAGTTCGGTTAGGGAGATATTTTAAATACCTAAAGCCTGTCCCCAGCCTGGCTGCCTCTCTGTAAGATGCTCAGAGCTCCAGCAGCAAGAGAGATGTTGCTGATTTCAAAGGCTTCTTAAAGGGGAAGGGCAGGGGGGGGAAGGGAAACCTGGCCCTTTTTATTGAGTGATCAAAGGCTGGGATTTGGCATTACACAGAGAATTATTTAAGCTCTTCTCCCAGAGGGACATCAACCTGAAATTCCCCAAGGAGGGCTGTGATCAAACACCATGTTATGTCTTCCTCTCTCCTTCAGCTCTGCCATGCACTGAAGTCCTTTCCAGCTCCACTACATGTGCAACGAGCCAGGGAATCTCAGCTCACCAGAGAGGGGAGGTTTAGGTGCCTCCCTTACATGAATTCAGCCAGCAATAACCCACAGCCTTCCCCAAACTGGGAAAACTCAGCAGGTTCTTAGCTTTTAGCCTGGCCAAGCAAGGTACAGCCAACCCCACAACCTTCCCTGGCACTCAGTCAACAGAACCACGGAATGGGTTGGGTTGGAACGGACCTTAAGGATCATCTTGTTCCAAATCCCCAGGATGCCATGGGATGTCATCCACTGGACCAGGTCACAGGCCAGGCCCTTGAGCAGCCCCGGAACAGAGGGAAGCAAAGCAGCAGCTGTGCTCCCTGCCCCAGGAATGGCTCTGTTTCCCTGGATGAGACCCTCCCAAGTGTGACATTAAAGCAGCAATAACTCCTTGCCCACCCAACCGGGCGGCATCACCTCCCACATTGCTGGGTACAGGGGAAAGGGGGGTGGCAGGCGGGGTGCTGGGTGGCCAGGAGGCATTGCTGGCACACTGTGCTGGGCATTCTGGGGGTCTCACAGGGCACTGTGCCCAAGCTCCACACAGCGGGGCTCCCGTGGCAGCAGAACCCTCCCTCCCTCCTCCTTCATGCACCCCCACACCCTCACACCTACCATCCTCACAGGGCCCCGTCCTGGCCACCTCGATGCTCTTCTTCTGCTGGCAGGAGGCCACGTGCAGCTCGCACTGGTTGTCGTAGGTGAGCCCGTCGGTGCCGCACACCGGGGCCGGGGGCTGGCGCTCGCAGCGCGGGCACACGCACTGCCCACCCACGCAGCGGCTGCCAAAGGAGCACACCGTGCTGCCACACGACTCTGGGGACACAGGGGGGAACACAGGCAGGCGTCACGGGGGCTCCCGTGGCCGGCTGAGCAGTGTCACAGACCTGGGGACCGCTGATGTTATTGTTTGATTCGATCGGTGCAAAGGCTCTGCGACGGCCGTGTGCCCACCCCGAGCATTCCTGACCCCCCCCATCAGCACCCACGGGTGCTGTGTGCCCACCCTGAGCATTCCTGACCCCCCCATCAGCACCCACAGGCGCTGTGTGCCCACCCTGAGCATTCCTGACCCCCCCATCAGCACCCATGGGTGTGGTGTCCAACAGTTCTTCCTGACACCACTAAGAAACCCCAATTACTCTCGTGGTGTGTTCTGACTTCAACCCACAGAGCACTGAGGGTCATCTGTCACACTCAGGCATTCTCTCCCGAATTCAGGGAGGATCTCCACGCACCAGCTCAATCCTTGGAACACCAGACCCAGCTGGACGGGTTTTATGAGCCTCGAATCATTGCTTTTACCCAAGCAGCTTTTGCCTTAATGAAGAACCCGGCCAGGGCTTTTAATTCATTAAGAAATTAGCCCAGACATTTCCCTGGGCCGGGGAGTGGGGAGGAAACGCGGGAACAAAGAGGAATTAACCCCAGGGGGATGGGGGCGGAGGGAAAGCCGTGTGTGATCAAACAGACCCTCAGTGCTTTCACTTCTGGTGGTGGCCATTAACACGTTTTTAGCCCAATTTCTTTGCTCGGCCCAGTGGACACTAATCCAATTTCTCTACCAAGTAACATGGGGGGGGGCAGATACCACCTACAATGGGGAAACAACTAAACCAGCTGGGGATAAGATTCCTCCTAAGCCAAGACAACGCCAGACGAGGCGAAAAGCCTCGGGCGGGGCGTGCGAGCGCCAAGCCCAGCCGAGTCGGTGACCCGATGAGCCTCGGGTGGGGTGGACAGGGCCGGGGGGGGGGGGGCGAGCGGAGGGATGGAGGGGACCTTGGCAGACTCACTGCAGTCTCCCTGGGCGGCCACCAGGATGTTGGTCTGCTGGGTGCAGGCGCGGACGTGCAGCTCGCACTCGCTGCCGTAGGTGCGGCCGTCGGAGCCGCAGACGGGCTGGGCCGAGGGCACGCACTCCGTGGGGCACACGCAGCGCCCCGTCTCCGCCTCGCAGATGGCCCCGAACTGGCACTTCCCGCAGGGGTCTGTGTGGAGCAAAGGACAAAGCCGGGAGGTTAAAACAGCGCCGAGGCGGGGGGAGTTGGCTGATCGCAGAGCAGAGACTGCACGGGCTGGAAGGGACCTTAAGGTGTCCTGTGCAGGGTCAGGGGTTGGATTCTGATCCTTGTGGTTCCCTTCCAAATGGGGATATTCCATGATTCTGTGCTGTGTAAGGGTCTGAGTTGTATATACGGGGGGGTTCTTATTAGGGAAGAGGATGAACCCTCCTTACTTCATCCTGTGCCTCCGACCCAGCCGCCTTCTCCCCAGGGCACCCTGGGTAAGGTCTGCTGGGTGAGGGGACAGCCCACACCTGCCTCCCCCAAGCTTTCCCCGCTGCCTCACAGCCCTTGGTGAGGAAGGCAGTGTTCAGGATGGACACTGGATTCTCTCCCACCACCTTCCTACTGAACCTGGAGAAACACAGCCCAAAACTTCCAACCCCTGACATGGGCAGGGACACCTTCCACCAGACCAGGTTGCTCCAACCTGGCCTCGGACACTTCCAGGGATGGATCTTGGAGCAACCTGGTCTAGTGGAAGGTGTTCCCTTCCCCCATGAGATGGGCTTTAAGGTCCTGTGCAACCTTGGCATTGGACACTCCCAGGGATGGGGCAGCCACAGCTTCTCTGGGAAACCCGTGCCAGGGCCTCCCCCACCCTCATAGGGAAGAATTCCTTCCTAATCTCCCATCTAAACCTACTAACGCATGTCTAAACCCACCCAATGCAGAAATAAAACCTCCCTGTTCCCACCTCGAGCCCCTGCAGATGCTGCAGCTCTCTGGGACCAGCAGCCCCAGGGCAGAGTGGAAGGGAGGGAGTGAGGGCAGGGATGTGGGAGGAGGGAAAGGCTGGGAGGCAGAAAAGCAATAACTACTTGTAAAAGCCATCAGGGCCAGGAGTAACATGCTGAAATGTCACCGTGGCTGTGTGCTGGCAGGGCCAGAGAGGAGGTGGGAGAACGTGGGGCTGAGAGTAATTATGGGGAGCAATAAATCATCCCCAGCCCCGGGAGGAGGAGCAGAGCCTCCCCGGCAGCTCCCGGGAGAGAGAGCCAGCAGCATTCCCACATGGCACAGCAGCAGGATGGGAAGAGGAGGTTGCCTGGGAAGGGGGATACCACCTTCCCCTCGTTTATCAGGGCACCAGCAGCACTGGATGCATCACATGTCACAGTGCCACCTCCCTGGAGGGACCCCCAGCCTGCTGCAGACACACAGGGCACACGAGGGCAGGCTGGGGTCAGAGAAGATATTTATCATCCTGACAACTCCCTCTCCAAGCAGCTTTCACTCCTTGCAGGAGAGCCCAGACTCCAGCCAGCACCTCTCCTGACTCCCGGGTTTTACTAATTCACAGCTTCATTTTCTCCTTCAGACAAACACCCCTCTTTTTTCCCCTCCCTACCGGTCATTTCAGGAGGAATTTGGCTCCAGGGTGGTTTTCCCTTCTTTTTCTTTCACACAGCAGCTGCTGCCTTGGCATGGGGGAGGGAAGATGCACCAACCCCCTGCTCGGTTCATGCTGTTGGCCAGGAGGTTTCTATCTATGGCACAAATACTGCAGCCACGCACGGACTCTGCAGGTCAAGGGAGAGGATGCTCAGGGCAGCCAGCTCCTGAGAGCCAGCCTGAAGGTTTGGGGCAGAAAACTGCGTTTTGATAAAACTGCAACGAGCCCAGCCCTACCTGAACAGATTCTGTCCCAGGAGAACACAGTCAGCCCGGGCTGTGCCTGCCTGCAAACACTCTCTGACTGGCAAAGCTGGCACAGAGAGTGAGCCTGCAGATGGAAGTGCCTGGAAGAGGCTCCCCAGGGCAGTGGGCACAGCCCCAAGGCTGCCAGAGCCCCAGGAATGTTTGGACAATGCTCTCAGGGACAGGGTGGGATTGTTGGGGTGTCCTGTGCAGGGCCAGGGGTTGGACTCTGATCCTTGTGGCTCCCTTCCAAATGGGGATATTCCATGATTCTGTGCTGTGTAAGGGTCTGAGCTGTATATACAGGGTGGGTTCTTATTAGGGAAGAGGATGAACCCTCCTTACTTCATCCTGTGCCTCCGACCCAGCCACCTTCTCCCCAGGGCACCCTGGGTAAGGTCTGCTGGGTGAGGGGACAACCCACACCTGCCTCCCCCCAAGCTTTCCCCGCTGCCTCACAGCCCATGGTGAGGAAGGCAGTGTTCAGGATGGACACTGGATTCTCTCCCACCACCTTCCTACTGAACCTGGAGAAACACAGCCCAAAACCCCTCTCTCCCCATGGGCAGGGCCACGTCCGGGCTTAAGTCACTGCCTATTCCCTGTAAGGAAAGAGAGGAAGGAGGAGGAAGAGAGAGAGGAGGAGAAGGAGAAAGAGATGGAGATGATGGAGATGAGGGAGATGATGGAGATGAGATGAGGGAGATGATGGAGATGAGGGAGATGAGGGAGATGAGGGAGATGAGGGAGATGAGGG